CCTCGGGATCCCGAAGTGGTTGTGGCCTCAGCGCCCTGACTGCAGTTCTGCACGACCGAAAAGGGCACGGAAATAATGGGTACAATGCCCAACAGCAGTTCCTGTTCATTTTGAACAGGACTCGCTGTCCGCGCCGCCGCGGCCTGTGTCCATTTGAGACAGAAGGTCGCCTGCCCAACAGCGGCCGCCGTTGGTTTGGGACAACATTTGTTGTTGGGCATTGTACCCATTTTTTCCGTACCCATTTCGGGCGTCCGAAGCAGTGGTGACCCCCCGCGGCGCGCGCCCGATCTGAGGGGTCATTCTCGCACTCGACGCGGCCAAGGCCCTCGGTCGAGAGCAGCGCGACGCCTGGAGGGCTGACGAAGTGCTGGCCAGTTAGAGCGTCGACAGCCCAGCACCATTCTCATGGAGAGGTGTTCCTTCTTCCCCACGCAAAACACCCCGACGAAGTCGTTGGATCTCGAACCCCCTTCCCAGACCCCCTTGCGTTGTGATGTATATATATATACATATAGATATATATGTCGCTCTATATATTCATATATATATATATGTATATATATTTGTATTTGTATGTGTCAATGTAAAGGTATAGGTATATGCATGTATATATATATATATATATGTATTTTGAGATGTTCATGTAGATGTATATGTATGTATATATATATATATGTATATGTATATGTATTTGTATGTGTCTATACATGTGTATATGTACATGTGATTGTATACGTGCAAATATACGTATGTGTACATGTATATGTAACTGTACATGTTCATGTATATGTAGATGCATATGTGTATGTATAGGCATACGCACATTTACACATACATGTGTAAGTATATGTACATGTATTTGCATATGTATATGTAATTACGAGTGTGTATATATGTATATGAACATATATACATATATATGTACATGACTATGTACACACAAAAATGTATATGTTTGCGTACACGTACATGTATCTGTATATGCATATGTACATGTATATGTATAGGTATATGTATATGGATATGTACATATATGCATATGCAAATGTATATGTATATGCATATGTATATGTATATGTGTGCGTATATGTATATGTATATGTATATGTATTTGTATTTGTATATGTATATGTATGTGTATATGTATATGTAGATGTATATATGCATCTGTCTATGTATATGTTTATGCATATGTTTATTATATGCATATGTAGCTGTATTTGTATATGTATGTGTATATGTACGTGTACATGCATATGCACATGTATATGTACAGGTAGAGGTATATGTATATGTATATGTATATGTATGTATTTGTATGTATATATACTTATATATGTGTATATGTATATGTATATGTACATGTATATGTATATGTATATGTATGTGTTTATGTATAAGTATATGCATGTGTATATGTATATGTATATGTATATGTATATGTATATGTATATGTATATGTATATGTATATATACATGTATATGTATATGTATAGGTATATGCATATGTACATGTAGATGTATATGTATATGTATGTGCATATATGTGAATGCATCTGTGTATGCATATGTAGATGTAGCTGTACAAGTATATGCGTATGTATATATATATATATATATATAATATATATATATATAATCATCATATATTCGGCTTCTGGTGGCCCTCGCCGTGACCCAGGGTCGTCAGACGACCGCTCAGGATGAAAAACCCGTCCTAGGGAATAGGTCGAGACATTTGGGGGTCTACGTCATGAACGAATCATTGCGTCGGGGGTCTGGGTTCGCCCCGTCCCACACCCCCAATTCCAGATCCGCCGTGCTTTAGACTAGCTCGTTGGTAGGACGGAGTTGCCCGCCTTCGTATTCGAGCTCCTTTGATACCGATTTCCACATTCTTTGCCGTCGCTGTTTCTGCCGTACTCGTAAGGGCTCCGTCTCCCGCCACAAGCCCCCTCTCTCGGATAATGGGGTATGCAAGAGCTATGTTGTGAGGCCTGGGCGCCGTCGTGAAGCAACGTCGGATCTCCGAACGGGGACCACTTGAGATATCCAGGTGCGTACTGCGCAGCTTACGAGAGAGTACTGCCGCAGAGACGCGACCCTTGCATACTTGTAAAGGAATTCTTGTCTCGGGAGCGAGAACACAGCATAATATGCGAGGGTTTATGGCCTCGGGGACGACAATTTTGGATCATCTATTAAGGATTATGGCCTCGGGGGCGCGAACATGATGTAACTTATGCGCGATTATGGCTTCGGGCCCCCAGAAATTCTGAGACCCCCCCCAGGTGAAGGCAACCAGGGCCCTTTTCGGCTCCCCCCTCGCGCGCACTTCAAGAATTCACAGTAGGAAGCAGAAGACAGAATTGCAACATCGGAGACTGGAAACTGGAACTGGAGCAGGGAACAGCAAGCCTAATACCCGGAGCCTGATGGCCCCGCAAGGGTGCCGTCGGATTTTTGCGGAGATACGGTCAGGAACTTTGGCTTAGCGTGTCGCGCCGCCGGTTTTGGCCCACCACGCTGCGACGCGACACGCTGTCCATATCCCACTCCCCAGGCGTCAATGTCGCGACCTTTCCCAGCCTCCCGCCCCGCGGAGCGGAGCGACACGCTATCCACTCGCGAGGCATAGCGTGTCGCTGGGGCCGCCGCAGCGACACGCGAGGCAAATATTCCTAACCGCATCCGCCCCAGTTTCTTGAGGCGGGAACTTCCGCCCTCCTTTTCTCGTATCGTTGGGGGTAAGTCGAGCAATCAGTTTAAAGTACGGCGGATCTGGAGTCAGGGGAGCTTGCTTTTGAGTCCTTTGGCGTGCAACAGTCTTTACGCCCCCCCCCCCTCCCCGTCTCCCCCCGGGGGGTGGTTTTCTTGCCGACGAATTTGTGTGCGTTCCTTTGTTGTGCTGTTTGTTTTCCACCTGTTCTGTAACTAGAATCACGTACTCTTTGTCTGTATAGGCGTTCATTTGTTTGTTTGCTTCTTATTTTTTATCACGTAGTTTTAGTTGTTTGTCGGTTTTCGGTTTGGTTGTGGCGTGGTTTCTTGTTGGGGTCCTTGTGTTTTTGGTCTTTTGCAGCTGGGTTGTGTGTGATATGTTGTGTATGTATATGTGTGTGTCTGTGTGTGTAGTGCGTGTGTGTGTGTGTGTGTGTGCGTGGTGTGAAAGAGTGGTGTGGTGTGTGTGTGTGTGTCTGTGTGGTGTGTGTGTGTGTGTGATGTGCCGTGCGCGTATGCGGCGCGCGCGCGCGCGTGTGGTGTGTGTTGTGTGTGTGTGTGGTGTGTGTGGGTGGGCGTGCGTGCGTGCGTGCGTGCGGCGGTGAGTGTGTGTGTGTGTGTGGGTGTGTGCGGGCTGACGCCACCCAACATGCTGGTGCTCGCGCACATACCATGGCGATCGCAGCGCACCCCTTCCCCCCCGACGCAACGCACCCCTGCCCACGTGGCCCTCTTGGCCCTGACCGCCGGCTTGCCGTTATCGGGGCCCCCGCCCCCCCCCCCCACCCCCCCCAGCTTCCTCCCCTCTACTCCTTCCTTCCTCCCTCCTCCTCCTCCTTCCTCTTCCTCCTCTCCTCCTCCCCTCCTCCTCCTCCCCCCCTTCTCCTCCCCTTCTCCTCCTCCTTCCTCCCCCCCTCCTCCTCCTCCTCCTCCGCCTCCTCCTCCTCTTCCTTTCTCCGCATCCTCTCCCCCTTCTCCTCATCCTCTATTCATCCTCTCCTCTCCTCCTCCTCCTTCTCCTCCTCCTCCTCCTCCTCCTCCTCCTCCTCCCCCTCCTCCTCCCCCTGGTAGCGACCGCTGCTGGAAATGAAGATTATCCTACAAGCACAAGGGGAAGGTGGGGGCCAGCGAGAACTGAGAGACTAAATCGAAGCACCTGAAATCTGACACCGATATTCACGCCTTTATTCTCCAGCAGCACAGAGAGGGCCCCGATGGGCCGTGTATATCTTGATATACGAAGCAGGCGATCTCAAACTCGTACATCACGCGGCTCACGTGCCACGTGCGTGAGCCCGAACCTCCTTTGAGTCCGAACTCGGAGGACTCAAATATTCTTCAAACTCTAACTGTGACGGGAGCTTGTGAAAACGGGCGGGTCGTGGCGGGAAGGCTTCAGCGTCCCGTCGAGGAAAAGAGGAGGTATCATACCATCTCCCGGCCCGGCCCCCAAGACACCCCACGAGCACGGATCAATTAAGTTTGACAAGCGATCATTATCCTACAAGCACAAGGGGAAGGTGGGGGCCAGCGAGAGCTGAGAGACTAAATCGAAGGAGCTGAGAGACTAAATCGAAGCACCTGAAATCTGACACCGATATTCACGCCTTCATTCTCCAGCAGCACAGAGAGGGCCCCGATGGGCCGTGTATATCTTGATCTACGAAGCAGGCGATCGCAAACCCGTACATCACGCGGCTCACGTGCCACGTGCGTGAGCCCGAACTTCCAATACCCGCACCCTTTGCCTGGCAACGCCGCCGTTGTCGCAGCAGGGCTGGGCGCGGCGGGAAGCTGCGACAACCTGAAAAAGAAATCCATTCCACGTGGCAAGCCTGAACTCAGCGTCGGGTGGCTCTTGAGGCTTGTTTCGCTCTCAAACACCACTTGTGCCCCCGACGCTGCAAAAAGAACTGATCATGTGTTGACGATGCTCGGCCAGCGTCGGGTGGCTCTTGAGGTATATTTCGCCCTCAAACACCACTTGTGCCCCGACGCTGCAAAAGAACTGAGAAGATGGTGGCGACTGCCTGGCCAGGGTCGGGTGGCTCTTGAGGTTCGTTTCGCCCTCAAACACCACTTGTGCCCCCGACGCTGGAGAGCTTAACATCTGTCGTGGCGTCCCGCGCGGCTGCAGAAAAAGGCGTCCAGGACACTGCTGCACGCGCTGGCGCCACGCCTGATCATCGAACTGCGGGGTGACGATCGCGCCCGTGGGCCACCGTCCCTAGGGCGCCCTCGCATGGCTTTCCTAGCCACCCCGAAGGGCGCCCCCATCACTCCGTCCACCAGCCCGTGTCCTCACCGAACGTCTCGTCCGAAAAGAGGCCTCCAGGGCTATCTTGGTCGTCATCGTTGGTCTGGTTAGTCTTCTTGGAACTGCGCGCCCTGGAGCTCGTGATCTTCATCAGCTCGGCGGCAACGTCCTTGACTAGGTTCTTCTTGATGGCATTCTCGAGGGCCTCGGGGAGGCTGCCGCGCGGGCGTGGACGTCTCCTCAGGGCTCGCAAGGTCTCTGCCTTCAGGTCCCGCACCGCTCGCATGCCCGACTCACGGACCACCTCATGGCATCCTCGCGCGGAACTGGGTCAGGGCAAACGTCTTGGAGTAGCGCTGGACACTGGACAGGGCCTTCCTTCTCCCACGACGCCTGACCTGCTCGAGCGACGCGCGGCCTCGGGCAATGTGATGGCTGGGGCCCGAGTGGCGGATCCCATGTGGGGGCGGCGCCCATGGCATGCCCAGCGCGCGGCAGGCCTGATGCTAGAGCTTCCGGAAGCGGATCTGGTCGATGCCGAAGAGCTTCTCGTCTTTGCCCGTCCTGAAGTCACGCAACCCCAGGACTAGGTTAGCGACCACGCCCCGCCGAATGACGGCGCCCTGGTTGGTGCCTGTCTTGACTTCCTCGCCGCGGCTCGAGACACCAAAGGCCAGGGCCATGCACTGGCCGTCCCACACGACGTCCCCGATCTTCAACATCTCCATGTCCTGCTCTCGGCCGTAGACGTCGTACTGCGTGAGTGTCCAAACGGCCTCCACGTAGTGCCCCTGCTCGATCATGTAGATGGCGGTCGCGTAGATGGCCTCCTCCGGAAGTGGGCCACCCTCGCTCGTGCCAGCCAGCTTCTGCCAACTCTTGAGGCTTCTCAGGGCGAGGGGCAGCTTGTTGCGAAGCTCAGGCCAGATCACCAACATGCCGAACAGGACCACCGAGCCGAGGGTCGCTCTCTTGCGCTCGCCGTAGCACTGGATGTCCATGTAGTCTGCCAGCGCCCGATCGACCTCCGACTCGGATGTCAGCTGCCAGCCTCGCTGAATACAGAAGTTGAGGAACTGCCGCACCTTGGGGGCCCACTGCGAGGCGGTAGCGTCAGCCACTGAGTGCGTGAGCAAGCGCGTGAAGCCGCCGTCTAGCAAGCCAGTGTTCGGGTCCGTCGCGTGGTTGTCCCATGCCAATGGGCCTCTCTTGGTCATCGGGGTCGTGCTCATGGGCTGCAGAGGCTCGCGGCCAGCCGACGCGCGCCCCACCAGGTCGAAGATGGGAAGCGTCAGCCACCAGCATATCCCGCGCAAGCCTGACCAAGGGCGCGCAGCTCGTGTCCCAGCGGCACCTCCCCTGACGTGGGCAGAGCAGCTGGTGTCGCACGGTCGCTGTGCGCTCGCACGGTCTCGGGCGCCGCCCCTAGGAAGCCCCCCCGGGACAGGCCGTCCGCCACGTTCACCTCGGACGGCACGTAGCGGTAGGAGCCTGCCTTGTGCACGTACTTCTGGAACAGCGCCTTCTGCTGCAGCCGTGCGGTGAGATCCTTCTCGACGCTTGGAAGAGACTCCTCCCCGTCCATCACGGAGCGCCAGTCCAGCTCGTTCGCCAGGTCCCAACGCACCTTCGACTTCCACTTGTTGGCTGATGCGCCGCGGGTCTGTTTCCAGTCGGACATCGCGTGTACATCCTTAAACGCCTGCAGCTGTCGTGATGAAGTCGGGGGAGGCCTGCAGCATGCGATCCTTGTTCATGCAGTGTAAGAGCATCTCGTGGCCGATGTGATTCTTGTAGGGCTCCTTCTGCTTGACCCAGTCCGTCGCGAACTTGCCCATGCTGCCATACTTGCCGTAGGTCTGGACTGAGGTCGGGGGCGACGCGGGCCGTCAACCCCGGGGGCAGCTCGAACGTCGGGGCCGACTTCAGCTTCGTCAAGTTCTCCATCAGGCGCACCCTGGGATCCTTCAAGGACTCGCGCAGCGGCCCGATGTTCACCCCAACCTCCTCCACCGAGACCTCGTCCAAGTTGATGGTCGGGGCTGCTGTTGATCCCGCCGTCGCTGCCGTCGACGTCTGGTCGACGACCGCGCGGCGAGCTCCTGATGCGCGGTCCGCCTGGATGGTCTTCTCGACTTGGTTCGGGCGGTCCATCATGCGGTCGACGTGCGAGCCCATGTCGACAGGAGATGGGATGCGCTCCCAGCTGCCCGCGCTCGACCCAGGACTCCATGCAGATGGCCCATCTGAGCGGCGAGGACTGTCTCCCCCCCGCCCCGAGCCGAACTCCCCTCGGTGCCCGCCTCCGCGCGGCCACGGTCGCGGTGCATCTCCTCCATCAGGTCCTGCATCATCTTCCTCATCTCCGAAACCTCCTTGCTTCCCTCCGACTCCGAGTCCGATTCGTGAACTGAATGCCCGGCCTCCCCATCGCTGTCCACGTCGCTCCCTGGAGGGCTGGCGCCACCAAACCTGGGTAGGCCACGGCGGCAGCACCAACTCCAGAGCACGGGAGTGAAAGCCATTAGGAAGGAGAGGAGCAACATCGGCAACTCCAGCCGACCGTCCTGGTAGAGGTCGTACAAGTAGGCCCGGAAGTCGTCCAGCTCCATCATGAATGTGTGCGTGTCGTCCAGCTTCTCCACCGTCCACTTGGCCCAATCCCAGGCCCTGAAGTACAGCGCGGCTCTCCAGGCAAAAAACATGAGGCCTCCGCTGGTGCGCCACGACGACGTCGCCCACATAGCAACCGCAGCACTGCGGGCCCATCCCAGCATAGAGCCCCATGAGCGCCAGCGTGCAGCGCCAAACTCCGTACAGAGCTGCTTCTCAGTGCCCGCCTCGATCGCCGCCGTCTTCTCCTCGGCGGACAGGGCGGGGAAGTGGGCGTAGGTGGTGTTCGGCTGTCTCTTGGCGGTGATCCTCGACCGATCCTTGATGTCGACGGAGCCCAAACTTCGGTCTGGCCAAACGTAGATCCACCTCATGTCGCCTTTCTTCTTCGGATAGAGCCTCATCAACATCAGCACGACTTCGCCCTGGCCTCCGCCTGTATTGCGGTACATCCGACTCCATCTGTGCACCGAGCTCATAGACAGGCCAACGTATTCAGTGAAGCTCAGCCTCGAAGAGATGCGCTCGTAACGCGAGAGAGGGTCACTCGTGTTGGCGGCAAGGATGGGCGACTCGAGGGCCCACTCCAGCAGCCCAGCGTCGACCAAGAAAGAGAAGGCGAGCCCTATGGCGAGGGCCCGACGCCACGTGGTGTGGAAGCCTTTGCGCGAGCAGCCGCTCGCGGGGTAGCAGCGCGTACAGTGTGGGCTGGCTGCAGCCCACCCCGCGAGCGGCTTGAACAAAAAAGGCTTGAGCGTCCCGTCGAGGAAGGGAGGAGGTATCATACCATCACCCGACCTGGCCCCCAAGACACCCCACGAGCACGGATCAATTAAGTTTGACAAACGATCAGATAACAATCCCAGTGTAAGTTGGACAATCAGCCACAGTAAGGCGGACGAGGGCCCCCTTTCTTCGGACGGCCTCCAGGGCACGTTTCCTTCGTGCGCGATTCGTTTGGCCTCGTGGGGGCCAACCTCGCCTGGGCGAGGGCTCGGGGCGAGGAGTCGACCAGAGCGCCGTCGTCTTGCATCGACGAGCCAGGCTCTGGAGACACTGATTTTGGCTGATGTTTTGGAGGACTCGGCTTTAGGCCCGTCCCCAACCCTGAGGCCCGACGCAGCGAACAAACGTGTATCATCGTGACAATTGACGACCAGCACCCCAGACCCCATCTTCCTGCGCCATTTTCCGAGCCGCATCGATCTGTGAGGGCCCCAGGGCCCGACACGGGGCGAACACGCCCGGCTCAAGCAAAACACGAGGCGAACACGCCCGGCTCAAACAAAATTGCGACGCCAGGATCTCAGAGAGCAACGCTTCCCTCGTGCTGATCTCCCCCATCCGTTCCTGCGGCGGCTCGCCCGCCCCCGAGCTGGGCCTGCCCTGGTCCCCCTCCCCGGAGGGAGGTCGTCGGCCCGCCAGCGTCGGCCTGGCCACTGCCCGCGGAGCAGGGGCCGCCGCGCAAGCCCACGGAGGCCCGCCTCCGCAGCGCTGCCGGAGGAGGAGGAGGGCGGAGCGTGGATGGGAGCGGTAGGAGGAAGGAGGGGAGGAGGAGGAGGGGTAGGAGGAGGAGGGTGGAGGAGGACGGAGGAGGAGGGGAGCGAGGAGGGAGGAAGGGATCGAGGAGGAGGAGGGCGAGGCGGAGGAGGTAGGAGGAGGAGGAGGAGGAGGAGGAGGGAGGAGGAGGAGGAGGAGTGAGGAGTCGAGGAGGAGGAGGGAGCGAGGAGGAGGAGGGTAGCGAGGAGGAGGAGGGAGCGTGGAGGAGGGGTGCGAGGAGGAGGAGGGAGCGATGTGAGGAGGAGGAGGCGGAGGGGAGGAGCGAGGGGAGGAGGATATGGATATGGATTTATGGCTCTTTTTAAAAAACAAAGAAAAAAGAACGCGGTGCGTATGAAGGAAAAGGAAAGAACTCCTCAGGAGCCTTTCGCACGCTTGGAGGGGTACTTGGGACATTGCCCATCCTCCACTCTGCGGAGATAAGCGGCCCCAGTGGAGGTGAGGGTGCCGAGGCACTGCTGGGCCAAGGAAGCCCGAAGCTGCTCGACGCCGAAACTCCCACAGGAACTACAAATCCACACATTATTCTTGGCCTGATAAACCATTTTGTGAGTCTCGTGAACCCAGCCCCCCCCGATATGTACCGACTGTCCCCTCGGCACCTGGAAAAGGGCGGAGTCGACAGACTGCAGGTTATAGCACTGACTCCTACGCCACGCCGTGGCTGCCGCTGCCTAAGCCGAGCTCCGACAAACAAGGCACGCACGGCCACTCTCGGACAAGGTGTGCTCGGACTCGAACACGGACACAACGCTGGGAGCTGGCGGTCTGGGTGCTTTGGTCTGATCACGGGCACGTGGAGCGGACGGGGACGCGGCCATGGCCTCGAGAGTGGATCGAAACAATCTTTTTCGGACGAGCCCTGCTTCCAACTCAACCTTCCCAATTCTTGTCCTGGTATCCTGGCTGACACGCACCATACTGGCAGCAACTCCAGCAAGAGTGTCAGCGACTTGGTTCCCGATGAACATCCACATCGGCAACTTGGAATCTACATGCTGCTCAGCCTCGAGGTGAGAAGGAACCTGTAAAACGGTAACCTGTGAGAAATCACGTCCTTCGAGAGCTAAGCCGATGAGCTTCCAAATGCTAGCGTTGGGCCCCGATGGGGCTGAATACTTCTTCTGAAACCACCCATTGACGACCCCGCTGTTGTCGGACACGTAAACCAGGGACCCCAAGGTGTGCCTGATCGCCAGTAAGAGGCCCCAGAGCTCCCCCCGAGGGACAGTCTGAGAGCCTCCAGGAAGTCCTCCGAAGATACACGCTGCAACCGTGGGGTCGCCGTAGTCGCTGAGGGAGACAGCCGAGACACCGACACGCCGAAGACGAGAATCACGACTATCTTCACCCCCGCTGCCGTCCCCGAAGACAATGATGGGCTCCTCAGGGGTTGCCAATGCCGAGCCTCCAGAGCTGGGAGGAAATTGTTATGCGAGGTGGTACATGTGTCCATGCTCGCTGTTGGCGGATGGCTCCATCTGCCAGACTCCGCGCAGGGGATCTCCGCCGCGACCAGAAAACATGCCCGTGCAGTCATTGCTTGCTTTCATTTTTTGCTAGACTTTGTGCTTGTTTTTTTGCTTGCCCTACTGTTTTGTTTTTTTTGGGTTTCTTTTCTTTTGTTTTGTGTTTTGCAATTTTATGCTCTTGTTGTGTTATGTGCGTTTGGCATTTTGCGTGCATTTTGTTTATGGCTGGCAACTTTTGTTTGCTTTTTGTTGTTTTTGTTTTCGCATTATTTGATTATTTTGCTTTTTGTAGTTTAAGTATTTTGTTGTCATTGTTTCTTTATGTGCTGTTTTGCATATGCGTCGTGCTCAGCAACAGCACGAGGTACAAGATGAGCAGAGGAAGAATACACTGCATGGTCCTTGTTAAAACTGCACAACCAGCCTCGGTGAAGAGGTGTCTCCTTGCTCTCCAAACACCGAGGACAGAGGCCATCGCACTGCGCATTCGTCTCATCCGCAACCCTTCCCTTTGGCCATGTCCCTCCCGCTGCAATAGCGAACATGGTCTCACAGAGCTGAGTGCCGTGCGGTACAGACGAGAGCGCTGCTAGAACTTGCCGAAGAGAATGGTTATCCACCCCGTGCTGGACCCCTTCCCCGCAAACATGAGACGCCGCTGACTTCCAAAGCTTGAGACGGACCGTTTTCTCGAACTCGGACACCAACCCACTAAAATCCTCCGACCAAGAAACGACCTCATCGGGGAACGTCCAAATCGCTCCAGGATCGTCATCGCTAGCTGGTGTGTGCCACTCGCTCGGTGATACTGGATCCCATCCGAACTCAAGAAGATATGCGACCATGGCGGAGATGGGCCCACGCACTGCTTGTGAAACCTGCCGAGGCTCCATCTGCCGAAACTGAGCAACTACACGCGGCCAAGCCGCGCGAACTGCGGGCCGGAGCGACGGATCCTGGAACCAAGTGCGTAGACATAACTGAAAACATTCCCTCGGAAGTTTGCACCCAGGATCATGTCCGTCGGCCCGCAGATCGAGAACCGCAGTTAAACACCGACCGCGCGTGGCCGAAGAAAGCGTGTGACCGAGGCGACGTCTGCGCTGCTGCCGAAAGGTACCGAAAGCCCCCACCATCTGGTGCCCGTAGCTGCCTGCAGCTTGTGCCCCGACACGTTCAAGTAATCCAGTCCTGAGATATTTCCTGGAAGCCCGACCGAACTTACAAATCCTAAAGTTCATGCCCTTCGCCTTAGCCACCCGTTTGGTCCGAGAAGCCCGTGCAACGCGACCTGCCCCAAGATCAGCCCCGAGGAGAGTGGTTTGAAGAGCATGCTGAAGATGAAAACCCCGACGCCGAAGGCGTTGGACAACACTTTTGCTGTCAGAGGCGTTGGTGCACATGATGGCGCTCTTGGGTGACACAGGCAAGCCGTGCGCCACAAGGGACCGACACGTGTCGAGCACGCCTTGATATAACTTCTCTCGAACTGCTTTCCGAGAGCCAGCGACATGCTCATTGATATCGTCTACCCAAACCCGAACAGACATAGACGGATGTGCCACTGTAATCTTACTCATGATGAAATAGATCATACATCGCCCGGAACGCGTCCCATACCTGAGCCCCTGAATGATGCTCTGGACGACCTGGAAGGCCTCGGAGTAGGACCCCGACTGAGAGACCGTACGAGGTGCAGCACACATCTGTAGTTCCAAGAAGAGAACCTCAGGAGGGAACCCAAGCCTGAGAGCGGCCCGAGCCAGAGGACCCCACTGCATCTCATCGTAGAACCCCTTGATGTCTACGAGGCCCTCCCCGAAAGCGATCCCCAAGTTGTGCATGGCCTCGTCCTTCAAAGCGCGGGCGAAGGCCTCGCGGAGCGCCGAGTTCCCCGCCGCTGCGGCGTCCCACGCTGGCTCGGAGCCCTGAGACCAAGATCGGACGTCGTCCTCCCGAGCACGGGACCAAGTCCTGGAAAACATAGACATGAGACCAATAACGCGGTCCGAACCCGATTTTTTCCCTAAAAGCTTCCCCACGACCAGGAGGACCTGCCAGGGCCAGGAGAGGCATTCCTCGCAGGCATTGAAAAGCCCAGCGAGCTCCGAAACTCCAGCAAAAGGCAAACGTTCCATATCCAACGGGGTGAGTTTGTCTACCCCGAGTCCTGTCTTAGCTCGCATGGAATGTAGCGCTTGACGGACTCTGTCGTGGGAAAGTGGCTCGAGGCGTTCGTGCCGAGCAACTTCGCGAATTTCGTGGAATACCTCCTGGACATCGTGTAGATCTGGTTCCCTTGGGCCCCAGAGCTGTTTCCACGTACTGGCTTTGCTATCAACGATGTCCAGGGGGTGATACATAACCTGGCCGTCGACTACGAGCTCATCGGGGACAGGAGGGGTCTTTTTAAGAGCCTTGTGGAGGATCCCAGGAGCCTCCGAGGTCGAAATCCAAGCACTAAACTCCTTAAGAGACGCCCCCAAAGCCCGCCGACGAGCTCGACCTGTGATGCGCTTGGCCGTGACGGCCATCTCGTGCAGGCTGGCATCAGGCAAGTCGGCAACCGTTAGTAGCCGAGCTTGCCACTCGCTCCACGAGGCCACGGTCGGGTCGGCAAGCGAGGCGA